CTCCCTTCACATGCAGACACTGTCCCCATGATCTCAGTTTTTTCTGGTGCTGTCACCACCTTATCCTATCGAACCAGAATGTTCGCCTACCTTGCCGTGTACCCTGTGCTTTTTCACTTTGTTTCCCTGCCATCTGTCTCTTCTATAATACTGTATTACTGGAGTTACCATTTTTATTCTGTCTGGAGCACCGAGTCCCTTACGAGTAGAAAACCCTGCTTTTCTACCAGGGTTTTGTAAATGTATTAAGTGATTTCTGTCTCAGTTGTATTGGTCAGGATGCATTAGTAACTTGCTAGAAGTAATCTATGTGCAACAGTAAGTAGTCATGCAAGTGCTAGTGTAGATTGGGACTTGTCGGGCTTTTTCTTTCATAAATATCCATCTTGTTTATTAAAAATTGTAAAAGGTCTGCCTAACGTGATTACTAAAAACTCTTTCTTTTTTTTTTCCTTTCCTCTCCCAACCCAAGAATTTGTCCCTTTGTACAGCAGCTCTAATGTACATCCTGAGTAGAGATCGTTTGAACATGGATTTAGACAGAGCTAGTCTAGATCTGATGATACGGCTTTTGGAATTGGAACAAGATGCTTCTTCTGCCAAGCTGCTGAATGAAAAAGACATGAATAAAATTAAGGAAAAAATTCGGAGACTGTGTGAAACTGTTCACAACAAACATCTTGATCTCGAAAACATCACGGTGGGTATCATGCTTTTATTTGAAAGCCCTGGCAGTAGTGGAATGCTTAATATAATAGAACTTGTAAGCATCATGCTTTATCTCATATCTCCCAGCTAAGGATCATGACATTTTGTCTACCTTCTATGTATATATGATATACGAAGTATTTTCTTCTTTAAATTTGAAATTTCCTTTCTAAAAGGCTGTTAGTGTGATAAAGTCACGATGTTCTTCAGCTGTCTGATTCACCATTCGCTCCTGCTAGGGGTAGCTAGCTAGTTAAAGGGAGCAAGTGAAAACAAGTAACGCTTTAAATAACCATGTGTTTAAAGACCACGTTTGGATTATTTGACTTTCTTTCTTTGCCTAAATTTTAACCAATACACGTTCACAAGCAATAGGGGTTCTTACATGGGAATAAGAGTATTGTCTGTTAAATTGAAAATGTGGTGCAGGTTCTCCCATTAAAAAACCAAAAATCTGTCCTACAGAAACTGATTTCTCTCTGCCCAAAGTGTGGTGGCAGATCTATTGATTACCATATATGTGGATGAATTTTTTTCCTTCCGTTCTCAAACATACTTGTTTTTTATGAATGTGTCTTCAGCTGCAACAGAGTGAGGAAAGTAATCCATTCTATTCAATTTGTTTGTTTAAATTTGGCCATGGTTGGATGCTAGCATCAAGCTAGCTTGAAAAATCAAGGGTAAGTTGCAAGGCTTTTTAGATGAGTGTATTTAAAGAATTGATGACAGATTGACTAGATGAGTGGTCATAGATGGCAAAAATTAGTAATGTGTTTTTGCTTTCACCATATTTCAGTATAACAGATGTTAGTATGATCTTAATCTTTTTAAATTCTTGTAATACATTCTTTTAATGTTGTAAAGATTCTTATTAGGTTTTTTGCCATTTTTCATGCAATACTTACACCCAACAGGAGAAGCTTCTGACTTACTGTTTATGAAATGAGCTTTTTAGAGCTTTATCTTTGCAAGTCATGTTTCAACTCCTGCCAGTAATCTGCAGTTAAGATTGTATTCCATCTTGCCTTGTTGAGCTGGCATTTTCTTTTGCAGTTCCTGTGACTTTGTTGGTTTGGGAAGGGTCTGGGTTTTTTTGGTTTTTTTTTTTCCCCAAAATTCTAGGTATGGAACAGATAGCTGAATTGGTATGAACAGTCAGTATTATGTAGCAGTAGAAAGAGCTGGATTTGGGGGGAGGAAGATAATATTGATGACATAATTCTTAACCTTGGTAATCAGTTTGTGGTTACAAAGGAGAATGGTTTCACAGTTTCAGTTTTAGGCTTGTTTCCTACAAATCTATGAAACGTGCTGGTAGGGGGCTCGTATTAATTTTCTTGCCTTTGAAATCTGCAAAGGAAGAATGAATTTGAGATTATTTTCTGCACTTTCAGCTTACTTTCTGAATTCACGCAATACAATCTGAAGATATGAACACCGAATGAAATTTGTTTTCTAGGTGGTGACCAGCTAGGAATCGGTGTAATCAGTGTCTTATTTCAGGGCTGGTTTGGCACCAAAGGCAGCTCACGTAGCTCACAGCCTGTCAGTGCCAGGATATCTTTTGCGCTATAAAATGTAAGACAGCTCCCTTTATTAAGCTTGGAACAGCTGGTACAGGTTCCTCATTGCTAAAGCATCCAGCCACACAGACCACTGTCTCCTATTTCTCATATTCATGATCTGAGCTGGCCTGATACTTTCTTATGAACTGTAATTCTGTTCTTGTGGTTTCTTAGGCATGGGTTTTAAAGGAAGAGGATATATTAAAAGGGACTCTGTCTTGTGAGGAAGCTGTCCATGAGTAAATGGTAATATTATCTCAGGCCATCAGTTTCAACTGGTTGGTTGGTTGTTTTGATTTTTTTGTTTGTTTTTTGGTTGTTTTTTTTTGTTTGAGGCATTTATTTCTTAAAAAGATGTCGAGCTATTGTTGTAAATGTGTTGAATACTGTAGTACCTCACAGATGGAAACTGGTTCCCTCCCAGCTGCACCATCTAGAAGCAGAGACTATATAGCGTTTAGAGAATATATGCAAGCCAAATGAGATGATTAGATTCTCTTCCAATTTATGATAGTAGCAATGGTAAGTTGAGACAATAATGAACTTCGTATGTGGAAGATAAAGTTGCTTTCACATAGGTCTCTGTCATGAGATATAATGAGTAATCTCTGTTTTGTACCAGATGACAGGCAGAAAGCGTTAACAAAAATGCAGATCTTCTGGGGGTAAAGAAAAGATCTGTGCTTTTTCAGACTCAGACATACCCACTGAGAAACTGAAGGATTGTAGCAGATGTTTTGATAACTTGAGCTTGTGCCTAACCGGTTACACCTTCATTTTTTTGAATCTTACACAGATCAAAGGAAGATGATCAATGCTGCCTGTCTTTCCACAGACATTGTTGTTTGTGTGACTATCTAGAAGTTAGATTGGACTAATTTTTGAGTACTTAAACACGTATTCAAAGGGTTCTGTTTCCTAGACTGCTATAAACATTAAAAATGTAAATCTAGAAATTGAAAAGGAGTTCTCTGGGGGTTGAATTTATTCCAGTTTTTTCTTTTTGCTGGCTTAGAAGAAGATAAAACCTGAACAACGTAGCCTTCATGTTAGCAAATGGCACTTGCCTGTGGCTCAGCATAGCCCTCTGGAGCTGGTGCTTGCAGCATAACGCAAATCTTCAGAAGTGACCGCTCTTTTCAGTTGGTGGAAGAGGTTATTGTTTTTCACTCTCAGCATAAGGCTGAAAGCTTAAGGGAACCATATTTTGAACGTTTGGTGATAAAATTTCATAGTAATTGACAGCAAAATTGAATAGAATGGATTACTTTCCTCAAAAGCAGAGTTACAAGGTTTAATTCATTTTTATAAAAAAAAAGAATAACTGAAAATTCTGTTGTTATGCCCAGTAGTATAAATATCAAATTATATTCTCCTGGAGTTTTTTGAAGTCTTACTGCCCTTTGGTGGAAAACTAAGCACCATATTTTAAATATTGTGTGGACTTCGAGCTTTCACGGTGAAGGTATTTGGGAAGTTACCTAAATCTTCTGTAGCCGTTAAGATCTCTAAGGAGAGTTTTTAATCAGCTTCTATCAATCTGGTTGAGGTTATGCGTGATGTCAGATATCCGCGTCACAATATTTTCGAGCTCAGTCTACAAAAGTGAAAGGAATCATCTGAAGAGGCTGGGAAAGCTTCAGAGAGCTAGGGACCTGTCAAACTGCTGTCTTCAGGTTCTCTCCCCTCCTTCCTCAAAACGCTTTCTCGTTTGGTTGGCTTCAGAAGGCAAGTTCTCCATCCATTGCTTAATGCTAAAGGAGATGAGGGTATTTTATGTTTTTAACTTACAGGTTTTTAAAAACATGAGAGTTTGGATCTTGTATCTCCCAATGATGAGATGAGAACACTCTATAACCCAGTTTGTTTAGTTTCCCTCCTGTGGGAAGACTCGATGAGTGGCTGTTGGCAATTAAAGGCAGTTAGTTAGCAGTTTCCTGGGTGGTGGAACAGTTGCAGGAGTAATTGCAGCTTTGTCTGTGCTTCCTCTGTGATGGGGAATTGAGATGCCTCTGACTCAGGGCGGAGTGACCTATTGTAGATTTACTGCTGCTCATGTTCTCTTGTCCCCCACAACACTGTCATGACCCAAGGACACTTCCATTGACACTAGAGAAATGCTGTTACTAACTATGTGCTCACCAGTGACTGTGCGCTGCAGAGCTTGCTCCTAAAAAAACAGAAATAACTAGTCTTGGGTGGTGACTCTTCTTTTATCAAGACTAATCTTCAACTTTCTTTTCCTCCTTGGAAAATCAGTACTTTGAAAACAAGGAAAGCAGCTGAAGATGGGGGGGTGGCGTGGGATCATACAATTTATAACTTGGTTTTCCGAGAGAATGGGGTGTTTCCTCCAGCCTGGTGAGTACTGTTGTTCCCAGGAGGTGCTGAGGTTTGAACCGGTATCTGGAACATGCTGCACAGCGCAGAATAAGCACAGCCCTCCTTGAAGTGTTGCAGATCAAATGTGTCGGGGGGGAAGATAACCTGAGAGGGGTTAAATTCAGTTGGCTCTAATGAGATCTTACGGCTTTTTCTCTGACCTGTCATTGATGTATTTACATACCATATGTGAAATGATTACGCTTATAGTAGTCCAGATTTGCCTGTGCATTTTCCAGGTGTTACAGAAGTCTATACTGGGTGCTTTTGTGTAGGTATAAATGTATATGTATGTATATGTTTTGTTATTAACATTTGCCTTGTATTAGAGGCTTTTGGAAAAACCAGTTATAGTCTTAGCTATAAATGGTGTTAGTTTTGGTTAAAAATATTGCAGGGGATTAACTAAGATAATCACGCAAAATCTCTTCAACTTCCATTTGCAGGGACAAAATAAAAGACAAGGAAAGTTATCTTTGCTGTTGTTGAATTTTGATATGTATTCCTCTTTTTTTAAAAAAAACAAGGAATCAGTAAATATAGTAAGATTTTCTACAGTGCTTTGGTTTAATTGCTGTCTTTTATGAGTTTCAAATTAAAAACACAAAATACCTACATAGAAGTCAAATGTATTCTACAAGCAGCAGAGCCGATGTGTCTGGGAGACAGAGAAGCAGTGTTCACTGTGGCTTTTCTTGGGTTTTTTCCTCCCTGGCTGATTTGTCCATTTCCTTCCTCCACTTGTTTTTGATAACAAGAAAAACAGATGAAAGAAGGCTGCTTAGGTTTTCTAAGCTATTAATAAAATAAAGAAGTTGTTGAAAATGCAAAATACCTTCTTATCAGTACCAAGTCATTTTCTTTTTTAGATACGCATCTTTTTCAATCCATTCTTGCTCCCTCTGGTGGTGGTTCTCCTCAGAACCTATAACTTTGTTTTTATGGGGTTTATATGATGTGTGTTTTTATGATTTGATGTATTTGCTACAGCCGCATATGATGATTTCACTAATTCTGGAACCTAACTCTTTCAGACCGGGCATTTGGCAATGGAGACGTTACTGTCTCTCACCTCAAAACGAGCTGGGGACTGGTTTAAAGAAGAACTGCGACTTCTGGGTGGTCTTGATCATATTGTAGATAAAGGTATATTGGAGATGCTGCTTTGACAGTGTGAAAAATCAGTGAATCTTACCAAGATGTTTGCTTTTCTTAATGTTCATTTTTTGTGGCTAAAAATAGAAATATGTATTTTTCTCAGCAATGTTCTGAAGTACACAAGTTGGTATCAGGTCACTGGGAAATGTTAGTGACTTTAATCTGTTGCATGTGGGGTTGAAAGTAGTTTCAAGGTTGAACAGAATGTGTATAATGTTACATATAACGTGTGAGATTAAAAGTGGCTTAAGCTTAGACAGAATACGGATTACTGTGTTACATACTCTGTACGGCACACAAATACAGCATGCTTATTCTAGAGTAAAATCTCCTTTACAGTCTTCTAGAATTATTTTCAGGCCTGATATTTTGTAACTAAACATCCCAGAGGAAGTCAGCCCTTCAAGAAGAAATGGTGGGATTTTGTTTCCATATTTTTTGAAGACATGTCTTCGTTAGCCTTTCTGCATCAGCATCTCGCAGATAGGAAAAGGGTTGTTTCTAAAATGAATTTTTGAGCTGAATAAAGCGTGGTTTCAAGTAAGCAGAGGGGTGGACAGAGGAAGGATTGAAGAGTTGAAAGTGTTCAACTTCCACATGGTTTCAGACTTGGAAAGTCTGGGGAGAGTGTGCGTGCTGTATCTTTTTTCTCTTCGGTAAAATAATGTATCACAGTTAAGGAACATAGTCATATGCTGTACAGTCTCTTCATCGTCAGTAGAAAACAAAATATACATATAGGTAATTTGTGGCAATAATCACAAACTTGTAAAGCCAAAATTGTAAGGTTGGGGGTTTTTTAATTTACTTGGCGAAATGAAAAGATTTGGAATGCTGATCGTGTCTTTGTCATTGTTTCCTAGTATGAGCTGTTTGTTAAGTGTAAAACAAGCTTGATAGTAACTCTGAGTAGCTGCTTAGTTTGTGCACTCCACTTTTGAAGACCTCTTACTGATAGTGGAAAACAACTTCTTTTTGTTGTTTAGTTAAAGAATGTGTGGATCACCTAAGCAGTGATGAAGATGAAGAGAAATTGGTTGCTTCGTTATGGGGTGCGGAAAGATGTTTACGGGTGTTAGAAAGCGTGAGTATGAGCAGACGCATTGCATTTTTGAAAACCACTTTTTCTCTACCAGACCTTTTCAGTGTTACATTCTTTCAATATATAGTTACACAATAATGCTATAATGTTGATTATTTTTTATAGAGGATACTCACTTTCTGATGTTTGTCTTCCTGGAATGTTTAGTTAAAAATTTCTTTCACTATTCTGTATGTATGTACAACGTTGCAAGGGTTTGGTTTTTTTGTAACTATAACTGAATGTAATATTATGCTTTTTCTTAAGTCTTTACAAAAAGCTGCTGTTTATGGGTGCTGTTTTCAAAGCATGAGTTTGACTCTCTAGTGTGTGTCTTGTAATAACTCATCACTATAGAACCAGGATTTTCTTAGAAGCAATAAATCGATGTATATTTTAAGCATTGCTACTTTGAAGCATCAGCTGGCTAAGCGCTGAGAGAGAAAACTGCCCTCAAAATCAGACTAGTCCTGTAATCAGTTGAGCGTGCATATTGAGGTGGGAAATAGTTTTTGATGAGAACTTGGGACAGAATTAAAACACATGGTACTTTTGTAGAGCTTAATTGACAAGAATCATGAGCATGTTTCCCTACAGTATTGCTGAGTTTCTTTTTTGTTGCTAGTGTTACTCTTTCCGTATTGTGATATTTAAGCAGAAGAGTGTTACGATGTTTTAGCAATACATCTCCGCATCAGAAAGCGATGTTCGGGTTCAGAGTACAGGTCAATGAATCTTAATGAACACCTTAAACCCAAGTCAGAGGGCAAATAGCTACAGCGGTAATTTGCTTTCTTCACTAAAATAGAAGGACAGACTCAAAGATAGCGGAATAGTAAGCTAAAAACTGAGAAAGATGAAGGATTGCTGAAGTACTAATTCAAGGGTGCCTACTTAAAAACGAATGGAACCTCGCTCTTTACCTGCCTTCTGAACAGTGAGAGAAAAATGTTCAGATACAACGTCTGCTTTTGTATTTGATAGATGCAATTGCCAAGTAACAGAACAACCTTGTTTAGTGGTAAAATATTCAAAGTTGAACTTAAGGGTGGTTTGTGATGTAGTAAGACCCTTAGGAACTTGGGAGAGATGACAGAAATCTCTCAACACACCAAAGCATGCAAATTTCAGAGAACTTTCACTGTTTCTGAAAATTGGTTCTGAATTTCAATCAAGGGAATCAAGGAAAAACTTGATATTTTTTTTTTTTAGGGTTAGATGCAGAATAAGCTCTCAGGAGTGGAGTTGATGTCCGGTCCTAAAAATAACATTATGTATATAATTGTATTGTGTTATATATTTATATATATTTACATACACCTATGTACATACAGACTTGGGACACTGTAGTCCCAGGATATAGATTCAGCGTTCTGCTGTGGCAGAACATTCTGCCACGTGGTTTTGGTATTTACTATATCAGGGAAGATGTTTTTATCTTCAGTGCCACAATTTTGTGTGATTAATAACAAGGTGAAAACACCAAGGAAATTTTGGACAATGATAAGTGAAAGTTTACACTGGATAATAACCAAAAGATGTGGAACTCAAAGTGGGGTGTGAAAATAAAGTGGGAAGGGAATGCTTCTTTTTCAAGAAAAAATAAGTCCCATTTTTAATATCACTCTCTCCTCTCCTTTTTAGGTAACTGTGCATAATCCAGAAAATCAGAGCTATCTGATAGCATACAAAGACTCACAACTCATAGTCTCCTCAGCTAAGTAAGTTGTAACAAAAAGACATTTTTGCAGAGCACTGCACATGATAGGGCAAAAAATAAATTTGTTATCCCAGAAGATTCTAGGGGGGGAATACCACGTACTGGCTACTGTTGCTTTTCATGAAGTAATGCTAAAGCTCATTTAGGTGGGGGTGTGGGTAAGTACCCAAGTCCTACCAATCCGTAGTGCTGCTATTGTTGGTTCTGTAGAGGCTGTAAACTGTGGATTGAGTTCATCCTGTAGTGAGTTAATATGGACGTAGAAGAGGACGGTTGGGAAGCTACACTTATTTATTGTGTTTTCATTATGCTTAAAAGTGTTTACTGAAATGGAGCATAACAGAATTGACAGTGTAACTAAGAATTAGAATAGCGAAATTCTGTTCTGAGCTGTTCTCCCTGGCAAAGATGCTTGTACAAACACCTCTAACCCATTTATCAATCTGGGTGAGGTCTCAGTTCACTGGCAGATTGCATCCCTCTTGTGCTGCTCTTCATAGGAGAGCAAATTAAGCTGAAAATTTGACTCTGCAGACCTCATTGGAAACATAATTTCATGGTTGTAGGTTAGATATTTTGAGTACTTTAAAAAAAAAAACCCAAACAACTATGGTGCGCTAGGCTATTTAGACAATGTATATTTTTGACATTTTTAGTTTTGTTTGTAATTGAAATCAGTGTTATCAGTTTAATATCAAACTAATGGCATGCAGTAGAATCATGCTTGTGGTCCAGTAGTGTTACGAGATTCAGATTTTGCCGCTAGGAAGTCATGTTTCATTTATGTATTCCTTACAGAATTGAAATGGCTCTGAGGACAAACAACAAGAATGTTTAGGTAGTGCTGTCAGAATAACATTGTGCCTTCATTGGCAAAGGATACGAGGGGCAGGGTTTGTAGGGAGAGGGGATATCTTTTGTAAGACCATGTGATGAAGTTGGACAGAAGAATTAACTTTTGTTCTTTGAAATCTCAAGCTGATAAAGCTCTAAGCGACAAAGTCTTCCTGGGTTTTGTTTACACAATTTCACTTGAGCTCATAAAAGATTTTATAGGTGATTAAGTTTATTATCTCTCCCTACAGACTGGGCATTTGTGCATTGGAAAAATTCTGCATAAACTCTGTATTTGAGGTTTTTTTTTTCCTGGTAAAATGAGTACAAGGCTGAAATGTCCTGTATGTTGTTAGGGTAATTTTGTTCCACATCTTCTTCCTGCAGAGCACTGCAGCATTGTGAAGAGTTAATCCAGCGATATAATCGTGCTGAAGACAGTATCTGTTTGCCAGACAATAAGCCTCTGCCTCACCAGAATGTAACTAACCACGTGGGTAAAGCAGTGGAAGACTGTATGAGGGCCATCATTGGTGTCTTGCTCAACCTAACAAATGATAACGGTAAAAGAAACAAAAAAAAGATTTGCATATTCTGTGTTAAAGCATCAAATAATATGTTACTGTAAACCCTCTTCTCTCACTGATTGTGTTTTTTCCATGTGCAGTGCAATAAAGCAGTTAGGTAAGGCAGATGCTTGCTTTACAGTGATCAGTAATTTGTCTTTGCAAATTGGAGGAATATTTGCAAGTATTAAGTGTTAAGACGTGTGCTTTGGCTGAGAGAGTCCCGTTTATCTTTAGAGGCAAAAGGTTTCTACCAATCTGCTTACAGTGATGAAAATGAGTATATTCAAAGTTGAGCCTCTGAACTCTTTTTGTTTACAGAATGGGGTAGTACAAAAACAGGTGAACAAGATGGTCTGATAGGCACAGCTATGAATTGCGTGCTTCAGGTTCCAAAGTTCCTACCTCAAGAACAGAGATTTGATATTCGGGTGCTGGTAAGCTATTGTATTTGTTACATTAACAAAAGGGGATTTGCCCCCTTCTTGGATATTTACCTACTCTGCTTCCAAATTAAGGAGCCGCTTCTATAGGTTTTTTTATTGACCATATATATATATACTTTGTGAGGTACCTAAAGGAGGTTTCCAGGAGGTTTTGGTGGTTTTGAACTCTAACCGTTTTCCCTGTGTTCGGTGGGAAAAAGTGCACTGCTAGACGAACAAAGAAATTTAGCTAAATAAGTCTCTGAATTACCTAATTTTCAAATGTCTTTCCGACTTTAGACATACGGCGGATGTTATTGTTTGAGATAAAGGCTTTGTCAGATTTACCTCAGCTTATGGAAAATGGGTCTGTGTGGCCTAAATAGCAACAGTGAAATTGTGTATGTGAAGGGTCTTTTAAGAATATAAGCTGAAAGTTGGACACCTGAATCCCCAATCTATAAATAAAATCTCATCTTTAAAAATGTTTGTGTCCTGAATTGGAAAAAGGAGATTCCTGCATACAAGTTCTAGTATATGGGGATCTTGGGTTTGCCTCATATCTCTTTTAAATCCTGATCTCTCTGTCTATCAAACTGTTTCATAAAGTTGTATTAGCCAGCCATGTATCCTCAGAAAGATAAGGCCTAAACAAGACATTTATCTGGATAGATGTTTTTTGCTACATTGTCCTTTTTTTAATGTGTGTAATCCTCTGACTCTCCAATTCTGGCAGGGATTGGGTCTGTTGATCAATCTAGTAGAATACAGTGCTCGGAACAGGCACTGTCTTGTCAATATGGAAACATCGTGTTCTTTTGACTCGTTCTGTACGGGAGAAGGAGATGATAGCCTAAAGATAACTGGACAGATAGATGCTGTTCAGGCTTTAGTGCAGGTAAGAAATGTGGTTTTCCTGTAACAGTTACCATTTCTCATTATCAGACTATCAAGGGGGAAAGGAGAACTCACCAATGAAGATTTGTCAATTTTTTTTTTCTGTTTAGTATTTTGAGTAATACAGCACAGGGAGGGAAGAGGGGTGCCGCCCCAACTTGGAGTTTACTTTTCTTGTTCCTAAAGGATTTATGTACCATAGTTTTGGGGTTTTTTTTAACTACTATATTTATGAGAGCTTGCAACTTAAAAAAATAATCATACCGTATAAGAACAGTAAAATATAGAGGCAGTGAATACAGATGTGAAACGGCATTCTTAAATGTTGTATTGACTAACTTGTTAAAAAAAAATAAATCCACCAATAACTTTGGTAAACGAGTTCTACCACGCAACCTAAAATAAAAGAATTGAAGGGATTTTGAAGTACAACCTTTTTATTTCAATTGAGGTAATTTTATGGATGCTATTAGCAGTTCTTCTATTTAGCTATATGAAATGGCTGTCCGGCAGCAGACAAAAAGGAAAATCAACAATAAAAATATTATTATTAAATATCTTTATATATAGCTCTGCAAAGCAATATTTAAAACTGGTGGTTGTATGGTTTGGAAAACAATTTGCAGGATGTAAGTGCACAATATGAGATTGCTGGTTCAGTCACATCCTAGTTAAGTCACTTAAAAAGCAAAAGTTTGAAAGAGTAATTTACATATTAAGGGAAGAGTGAAGAGAGCGAAGAGGGGGTAGCTAGCGTGAAAAGAACAGAAAATGAGGATTGGTAGAGAACAAAAATGGACAGGAAAATATGGCAACTTTTAGTCTTCAAGCTGTGTCTCAGAGAAAACGATTAAACATTTACGATGCCCAGGAGGAGCCTGCCAACTGGTTCAGCGCTGGGGAGGGAGGGAGGAAGGGAGGGAGGCCTTTTCTGTGGAGCGCAGCATTAGTGTTGGGATAAATTCTGGCTTCCTTTGAAGAAGAAAAGGCTATTGTTAAGAAAAGTATTGCAGATTGACTGTAGTAAGGGCTGAGCTGTGAAGGGGAAGTAAACTTTCAAGTATTAATTCAATGTGTTTAGGGTTTAATTTATAATAGAAATTCTCCTGAAATTTTCCCATTAGCTATTTCTTGAGCGTGAGCGAGCGGCACAGCTGGCCGAGAGCCAGACAGATGAATTGATTAAAGAAGCTCCTACTGCTCAGCATGATAAGAGTGGGGAATGGCAAGAGACAAGTGGGGAGATACAGTGGGTCTCCACAGAAAAGTCAGATAGTACTGAAGAGAAAGATAAGAAGGAAGAAGATGATGAAGAACTTGATCTTAATAAAGGTACGTTGTCTGGTCATGATGAGCTCAGAAAAGGCAAAGAGCTCTGTGATTGCATAAATTCCCGCCTTGTCCCCTGCTTCCCAGCTACGTGCAGTCTCTGAGGCTGAGATTTCCTTAGCGTATCCCCCAGGTGAAACTGTTACAGGTCATAAGTAGGAGCAGTTCAGAGCTGAAGCATGAGCAGCGGAAAAAGTTATGCAACTTTTTATTTTCTTAATAGTACCTTCTATTAGTTCCTTCTAAAAAAAAAACCCAAAAAAACAACCAAACAAACCCAAACCTTTTTAGGGGCATTCTGTGTAAAAATATTCTGAAAAGGATGGCTTCTAGGCCTTTATCTTGTTCTTCTGAAACAGGCCTTGAAAGTTATCTGCCTTAATTTGTTTTCCAGGGTATCGTGACCTGTTCTTGTTTCATGCTACTTTTACATTAATTTTTTTTCCTCTCCTCCCTATTTGCACTTACGCTTCTTCTGTCCCTGTCGTCTTTGTGTCTGAGTTTTTCTCACTCGTCAGGGCTATCTCAGGTACCTAGATGTGCCGCATCTTTGGTAGTTTGTTCCAGGACTTTGAGTATCTCTAAGCTGAGTTATGTAAATGGAAAATGTATCAGGCCCGAAACACCAGTCCTTCTTGTTTAGTTTTCTAATAGTAGGTGCAGTGTATTACTTCTAGTAGTGTTTTAATCTTCTAATAGTAGGTGCGGTATATTACTTTCTCCAGCCTTGCTTTACATCCTTCCTCCTTTTTGTAGCTCCGTCAGCTAGTGTCTGCAGCTAGTTGCAGTTTGCTAAAACATGCTGAGTCGTTACAAAAAGTGCTATATCTGTTATGCTTAATAAAATAAACTTCTTTTGGTGGAAGTCTTACTGGCTTATAGTGTTGCATGAAACATTTATATTTGTATTTCGGTGTGTTAAGCATACTGTTTGCACATTAAAATGGCAGTTAATAAAATACTGTACAATGTAATGAGTTGAAAGCGAGTGAACAGCGCTTTTCTGTTGAAGAGCGTGCTGCTGAGTTAGTAACTAAGGGGTTTGTGTGATTCTTGCCTCTGAAGTCTCAGTCTAAAAGCTCATTTTGTTTGAGAAAAAAGAATTCTGAAAAGTGATAATGAAAGATTGTCTTTGAAGCAGTAAAAGATACCAGCTGCTTAGAGAACACAATACACTGGGTTGTCTCTCTTTACAGCTCTGCAGCATGCTGGGAAGCACATGGAAGACTGCATTGTGGCCTCCTACACGGCACTGCTTCTAGGCTGTCTCTGCCAAGAGAGTCCAGTAAGGGAATAAGTCAATAACTTGCTCTTAAGTCCAATACAATTTTTAGTGAAGTAATAATTTGCAGGATTGAAATGGGTTTATTAAATCAGGGTTCAATGTGAGCTGGTACATTGATGAAGCTACAGAGAGAGAGAGAGATTTCTGTGGGAAGTTGCCAGAGGTATTCCATCCAAAACAAATTTTATGAACATCAGTATGTTTATCAAAAACAGTTGGAATTGAATTTGGAATTGAATATTTAACCTTTTCTGCCTCTCTTCCCTTAGCTGTTAGTCTTAGCCAACAAATGAACTTCGCTCGGAAAAGCAAAAGGAAGATCGGCTCGCCCATTCTATAATTATAAAAGCTTGCTTTATTTTTCAGTAGTTTCAATAAGCAAGTTAACATCAGACTTAGTATTTTTTATCAGTCTGCTTTATTTTTTCCTCCATTGAAATGACATGAAATTGTGTATGCCCGTATTAGTTGAAGATGATTGTCTCGGATTGGAAATATATAATAGAAAGCTGAAGTTAAAATATAGAACTCTATGGCTGAGAATTTCGTAAACTCCCCTGTCAAATACATGCTCAAATGAAAACGAGGCTCAGACCTGCTTGCAGGCTTGTCTAAATTAACCCTGATGGCAGAAATGGTCTTTAACGTGCTGTTCTGTACATTGTCTCCAGTTAGCTTCCAGACAACTTCAGCGTTTGGAGTGACAACTGACAATAAGTTCAATAATTCTCAGCCCTTAACATTTATAAAGGGAGATTCTCTCCAAGTCAGGAGAGTAATCTGGTGGGGTTTTTAGTTCTTGATAGTCTTGTAGGTCCTGGGGAGGTCTGACGGTGGTAATGATCTTTAATGAAAAAGACAAACAACAACAAAAGATTTTAGCAATTGTTGTTTCCTAGAAACATAAATACGAGTATTGCTTAAGAGAGACTTGAATCGTAGAGATGAGAACAAAAGCCATCTTAATTATGCGATGAATATACTTGTCTTATTGCATCTCACCTGCAGAGTAACATAGTTCCGGGTCAGAAAAATACTTCCCAAATTAAAATACTGTTTTATTTCTTAGATCAATGTGACTACTGTGAGGGAGTACTTACCTGAAGGAGACTTCTCGATAATGACTGAAATGCTCAAAAAATTTCTCAGTTTTATGAATCTTACTGTAAGTAATACATATTTTAAATTGATATCTGTAGATATTTTTGCAATTGTGTTTTCTGTTAGCAGTCCCTACGTTTTTAGAAGCCTTTCCCAGTTTTCAGCTGTGTCTTTAGAAGAGCACAGGATGATTTTTCTGGTTTTAAATACTGGAGACCTATCTGTCATTATTTTGGTAGTTAATGGAATGAAGCTACTTTCATTCCATTTGATTGTGACTAGTCAGGCAAATGATTTTGAATGCTCTGCCTGAACCTAATTGCTTTTACTGCTACGTAATTGTAAATACTAAAATTCTGAAATGAGCGTAACTGAAATATTTAAAGAGGCAATCCAAATGCTTGTTTGTTACTTGTGTTTTCTGTTGTGTTTTCCAGTGTGCTGTTGGAACAACAGGCCAGAAATCTATCTCTAGGGTGATTGAATACTTGGAACACTGCTAGATACTTAACTTCCGCTGCAGGCACTCTAATGCTGGAGCTACCCTTAGACAAAAGAAGTCGTCATGAAAGAAGTCCTTGAAGGATATACCAAGAGCATTCATCTGTGTCATTCGTGTTCGGATTTTTAAGGCTACCTGGTCTCTTAACCATGCATTCAGCGTTTTCCAAAAGACAGTTACTACATCAATCTGCAACTATCAAAAATGAGGGGAAAGAGGTTCTGAGGAAAATAAATAAAGAAACCATGCTGTTTATGATGCAGTGCAGTATTTAAATATTTTTTGGCAGGGTTTACCCTCCCGATCTTTTTTCTTGCTTTGTTCGTGACAAGTTTCAAGGGGAAAAACTTGCTGCTGATAGTGCAACTGCTGTTTACTGTTGAGCCACTGTTTCATGCCAGCCAGGTGCAAAGGCAGCTTAGCTACTGAGGTATCAAACATGTTCTAATAAAGAAGTTCTGGACAGCAGCACCGCTCCTATTTGAGTTTAATTTGCTCTTGCTTTTTTATTACTAGATAATTCCAAAATCATAAAATATAAATTTTTAAATACTTTTGTGATTTTAACTACTGTCTATATTTAAAATTTGTTGGAATCCAAAGAGGCGAGGATTGGATAGTTTATTTTTTATACTGTTTTGATTGAAATTAGGTTGTTGAACTATTTCTCGGTTCTAAAACTGTCATGGCCCATGTACTGTAAACCGATAGACCATAACACTTTGTAGTTCCAAGAAGCATGCGAACCCATAAACACATAAAGCCATTTGAGGGTATGTTATCCACAAAAGAAAGAGTAACTGTAAAAAGTTGTGCCCTGATTAAAAAAAAAAAAAAAAAAAAAAAAAAAGAAAAAAAAAATAAAAAAAAAATCCCAGGGTAGTTTACACTTCTGATAAGCAAAAACTTTGAAATGCTGTTTTAATTTGTTTCAAGGAAGCACTCAAGATGTATTTTATAATGCTCAATACAAAGAATTTGGATGTTTTAGGGGGAAGAATTTTAAAGAAGCTAAAACACCAATGGGGATTAATGTTCCCAGCTGACATAATCTTTCTATTTCATTCTTCTGTAGTATGACAGAGTTTAAATGCATACAACACAAAGCCTTAAATTGCTGATATAGCTAAGATTTTGTTCAGTCTGAGGTCTAGTTCACAGCAGAGCATTGTGTTTGAAGACTTAAGTGGAACAAAGAATCCCAGAAAAGACATGACTTTTTTAAGCAATTTTTTTCTTGCACTCATTATTCAGACCAACAGAATTGGTAATTATTTTTGTTAAGGTGGTCTTGAATATTTGCAGACTGTTGGGAGATCTGCTTCATTGACATTTTTAAATACCTGTATAGGTAATTACATCATGTTATTCCATTGAACTTGTAAAACTTGAAGCCATAAAAATATTAGTTCTATGTATAATGAGGGGGAAATAACAGGAAATCTAACCTGCTTTTAGATCTTGTGTTATCTCCATGTATAAAGTTAAGAACTCGTGCTTTTGTATCAGTGCCAGCTGTAAATTTTTTACATACAGTGGCTGCCTTCTACGTCTTCCTATTTTTGATAATGCAGATTGTTGGGAATTCTCTAAGGAAGTAACTGATTAGCGGCAAAAATCCTATGTTGGTCATACTCTTTTGCGTTTTCTCTCATCACCTTCTAAACTTAGCCTATCAGTGTAACTTAGAAAAGTTCTTGAGGTTGTATTCCCCATTGATTGAAAGACAAAAAGCAGTATTGAGAGAGAGAAAAGCTCTATGTCAATGATCTACAACAGGAGGAAATTATTGAATATTTTACCCCTCTTGTTTTCTGATTTTAGAGATTTTCACCTATAATGGATTTCAAATTGATTCTGTAGTTTTCTGTGGAGAGATGGCAAGAGAAAATAAAATACAGATGTGATGATGGGGGAAAGCAGGGACAACTACCTTTCTTTGTTACACTGGTAATTGTTTGGGAATTGATTTACCTCAGTGTTTAACAGTTTTGTTTTTTTTTTTTTTTTTTTTTTAAATTTAACTAATTGTTAAGCACTGACAAATGCAGATATTTTTTTTTTTTTGAGGGTGGGGGGAGAAATCACCCTGTGAACTGCAGTGCATTTTTGTGTGTTAGACCCTCAAATAACTCTGCATTAAAGGGTACTTGAGGCCAACTTGCAAATTAAAGTTTTAAAGTAACTTTTTTTCCATTGTAAATATTTGTGTAAATACTCTCAATTGGAAATTAGAACAGTAGAGTACTTTTCTGAATCCAATCCTATTTTTATTTTATACAGTATTTCTCAGCTGTGATCTTTGGAGCAAAAGCCAACGGCAGGAAAAATAGTTTGTACCAGTTTCATGAAGTATGTCTTTGGGTTTTTGTAAATAATTTTAACTCAAATAAAATTGCTACTTTCAATACATATCTTGTCTTTTAACATGTAATAAAACACTCCTCTGAGTGATTGCAGAAAGAAGGCAGTGTCAGGTAAATTATTAGAAGGAGGGGGAAAAAAAAAAAAGAGGAGGAAGAAAAAAAAAAAAAAAGAGAGAGGAGCATCCTGACGGTAGTGCTCCGTTTTTCACTGGTGTGTTGGGACAACAAAATTCAGTGCCTGGACTGGAGGCTGTGGTCAGTCAAACCAACCAAGGCTTCAGATTTTCTGGAGAGGATGTAATCAATCTCTTGATGCATTTTTGGAGTTCTCCACACAAGTTGCTATTGATCCTTCAGCTGAAGGGGCAGGTAACAACTGTGAAGAGCTGTAGTTAGAATAACAAAAATAAGGTAACACAGGGGGAATGGGGCAGTTCTTGTTATGCTCATACTTTTCATATTGCGGGGGGAGGATGTTAATGGCTTCTTCGGTGAAAAATGAGACAATTACTATGCGCATTGCTCTGTTTCTCTATTAATATGAATGATACTTTAATTTTAGGATAGATTTTTTCCCCATGTGTTTTTTCTTAAATGATACCACTAGATACAGGTACAATATGCAATAATTCATGAGCTGTAAAGCGAGTCAAATGTGATGTGTCATCTATTACCACTTCAACAAGCATCAGCGAAATGTAACTTTATTTCTGTACTGTGAAGGGATGTTACTGGAGTTTGAAATATGGAGCAGTATGTTATTAGTATGTGGCACTGTAGGAGGCAAATACAGCTTTGTGTAAGCAAACGTTTTCCAAAAAAAAAAAAAAATCATCTGGTCAAAGTATTTCCTCTTGCTTATTTTGTTGGTAGATATGTAATGGAAGCATTAGGTGGGGATGCGTTGAGACGACATCAGCGTTTTCAGATTAACAGGACAATTGTGAAGCTTCTGTAGAAGACTGGGGAGTTGTAGCCTTTCACATAGATTATTTCACTTCTAGACTGTTTCAGAATGGATGATTTGCATAATAACAAATTGATCTGGCATGATCTGTGCAGCACTGATTTAGCAGAAGCTTAATGTAAAAGCAGATACTGGTGCTGGAGATGATTTCTGAAGCTGGCCTGATGGAGTTGGTTTTGTGCTGTCAGCAGATTGGGTCTCTCTGAGCAGAAGACTGGACAGTGATCACAAAGGTATAAAAGCTTCATTCTCCCCCTGAGCTGAGCATCTGTGCCGAGTGTGTGGCTGTAATGGTGTGGTTCTGCTAGGGAGCTGGATAATCACTGCAGGGCTGCTGCTTAGGGGTGGACAAGAAGATAGTGGGAATTCTCTTACCATTTTTAGGGTGTTAGATTATTTTTTTTAAACTTTTTCTGTAACAGAATATTCTAACAGAAGTTCTTGCTTTTAACCATGTTTTCAGGCTCCAGTACCTCACTGAATTGATAAAAGATGTTTTTGGTGTCAGATGGACTAGCGAGTATTCTGTCTTCCCTCATTTTTCCTTTCTAAACACGCATAATTCCTCCTTTGAGTAAGCAGCAGTCAAAGTGTTCTTGGTTGGCTGGTGCTATTACCAGGCAAGCCCACGTGCCTTTTTCAGTAAAGTTTCTTTTCTTTAATGTGGTGCTTTCCCTGTTTATATGGCAAGGAAACCAAAAATGTGTATTTGAGGGCAAAAGATAAAGAGGACTTAAGTAGCTGCCGTTCTGCATCAAGCCCTTCCTTAAAGGATGGCTTGCTAATTGGCTTTTTGAAGATAATGAGGTTGGAATTTGCCCTGTATCCTGCTAGCCAAGAGTTTTCAAAACTAGGCCAGTGTAATTCTTGATGCTGCTGCTTTTCCTCCTCTCTGTAATATGTTAATTTGTCTTTGGGTAAAGGACACCACTCGATTATTTTAGCTACTTGGAAGAGAAGCCACTCATATATGTTCTTTTTTTTAACCTACCTTAAAGTCCTGTAAAGGGGCTGTAATTTATTAAGACATTTGCAGCATCAGTAGGTGCAGATAGTCTTACTGTAAATAAAAGTGAAACCATTCTAAATAATGCAACTGCTTGAAGTCCTCATCCAAGGGTAAATTGATTTACTAATTCCACAAGGATCTTTATTCCAACTGTGAAAACAGGACTTAGTTTGCTGCTGTATGTTAAGCCTGGGGTTGCCGTGCTTGGTATGATACCTCTGTGTGTGACAGCAGGTGCTCTGGTGATGCAGAGGATGTTTTAAGGAGCCCTGGAAGGAGCAGCCCTCATTGGGAGGAAAGTGAACTCCGCTAGAGAGATTTGAAAGACGGACACGTTCATAACTTTCACCTCCTGTCTTCCAAACTGTATCTCTAAGTCTCCTAACCCCCAACTCTTGCTACTACAAGTTGAGCTTCCATTTCATCAGCTTAGAAGAGTAAAGGCCAAAGAATTTCTTGATGTGTGGAAAGTTAGACTACTAAAGAAGAAAGAGTTCTTCAGACAGTAATACCTATTTCCTTCTGTGCCCACAGCGTAGACCCAAAATTCTCGTCTGTCTTAGGTGGTCCCAAGTTGTTTAGGGGAAAGTTCACTGTTGGATAAATAATAGTAGGGTAAACATTTGTAGGGTAAAATTAGGTGATGAGGAAAAGAGGACTCTTATTTGGAGTAAAGGAAAGAATAACAGGAATTTTAATTTGATTTACTGTTTAGTGTGGCAATTCTTTGTTTCCTGTATTAGGACAGAAGATTTTGTTGTGTCTCTGCATTTAATTTTTTAAAAGTGGGGAGGAAGGGTGTTAACCTGGAGCATGGAGTGGATTAAATGATTTTCATTCCACCTGTAAAGCTGACCCTGTGATTGTGTCCTATTATAACAGTGCAGTGTCGGTCAGGTGAGTGAGCAATAATGGTTTGTGTGTGTGTTGCTCTTTTCCCTGAACTTTCTAGCTCTGTCACTTTACCCTCATAAGAGGATTACACGTATTCTTGCCATTAAGGAATAAAGACACTGAAAAGAGAATGTTCTACCAGGAGAAAGATTTGAGTCAAAGGTGCGCCAAAGAGTTTATGTTTAATTGTGGATATGAAGATTTACCACCTGAATTTAATATATTTGTTAAAGACCCAAACCAGACTTCTTCAACAGGTTCTTGATTTGCATTGTTTTCTCCTGCAGATTCACGGATGTTTAATCAATAGAAACTAAAACTTGAGGAACCTTACAAGGGCTACAATTTGATGGAAATAGAAAAACAAACAAACAAAAAAACCCCACAGATACTAGGAATAATTTTACTTTTTTCCAGCTAGTAATTGACCAAAGAAAATGTATTTAACTAGTCTGTTTGACGGAGAGAGACTTGTGAATGTGGCTGTGATGTATGCCCTACTGACAGTTGCTGCTCTTCGGTTTCCTTCTGCGTTACAGTATTCTACTTGGTGGAAAGCAAACCTTGGTGATAACTATGTGGGAATGTATGTGTG